CAATCTATAGTACAGCTTCATCTCTGCTCACTCTCATACGTAGTCCGCCATTGCCATTATCTTTTTTTTTTCCTTTTTCCTTTTTTAATTTCCATTATGTCAAGTGGCTCTCGACAATGTCAACTTACGATGATCGCCACTCGCTGAATTATGAATGTGAAAACCCAAAAAAAAAAAAGGAAAAAAAAAACTCGTCTAACACTGAACTTAAGATTTGCATTCCAGCTTTAAAAAAAAAAAGAAAAAAAAAAAAAGTGTTCCAGCTTTAAAGCTCACTTGTGTATATGTGTCAGTGTGTCGGTGTGCTGGTGCTGGCGACTGTGTTGTCTATATACAATGTTTCCTGATTGGGCATACAGCAAGGCGAGATACTGGATACTAGTGTCTTTACCCGAAGTGAACACCCAGTCCTTTTAGCTGTATGTAGGCCAACTTGCAGTCTAGATGCAGTGATAATGACGGGGCGGTCTATTCAGGTGGTAGGTACAAGATAAAGCGGCGCAATTGCTACCGTCTTCACCCGAATACAATGTACGGTCATTGTTATAGCTGTATTTGGGTCATCCTTCAGTCTAACTACAGCAGTAATGACTGGACGTTGTATCGGGGTGAAGAAGGTATTTATTCGTTGTTACAGCTGTATTTGGGTCATCTTTCAGTCTAAATACAGCAGTTCTGTTTGGGTATGTTATTCACTTCCCAGGGGATGGCGGACTCAACAACATGCAGGCTGTCGTCTTCTCCCCGACCGCAACCTACCCTCCAAATGAATGTATCGAAGTGACCTTGTAGCTTTTATACATTCGCGAACGGGGTGACATGCGTTTGGGCGAAGAAGGTAGTGGAGAGGAGTGAGCATCTTCGAGTCATTCGGAGCTGGAGGATTTAACAACATGCAGGCTGCCCTCTTCCCTGTCTGCAACGTACCCTTGGAAAAAAAATGAATGCATCGAAGCGGATTCGTAGCTTGTATACACTCGCTAGCAGAGTGGCTTGTTGTGTTAAGAGGAAGACGGTAGCGGAGAGGAGTGGCTTGTTGTGTTAAGAGGAAGACGGTAGCGGAGCGGAGTGTAATTGAACATGACAAGATGTGCGGTAAGTACGATCTCACATGTGTGCTTGTGGCCATTGTCTTCCCACAGGTTGGACCTGACGACATTTCATGCAAAGTGTGGCATCACTGCAATCTCCTTGGCTGCATGGCAGCCCCTCAATGCATGGATGCGTCCTCGCAGGCCATCAGCTGGAGAGCCTCCACAGACATTGCGGGTCGTTTGGCAGTTTGTACACATGTGCGTGTCGAAAACACCTTTCTTCCTCCCCCACCCATCTCTCTCTACCTGTTTGTCTGTCTGTCTGTCTGTCTGTCCGTCTCTCTCTCTCTCTCTCTCTCTCTCTCTCTCTCTCTCTCTCTCTC